CAATTCCACGGCCAAATAGCCTTGGCCAAAGTACGCTTTTGCTGTCCTTAAAAAAATGGTTGTTCTGTTCTATGTGCAACCTTAAAGCATCCCCTAAACCTGTAATTTAAAGGATTTGTATGTTCCCATATTACAATAAAAGTCATATGTGAAGGACCATCACACCACTGTTTTTTGTTTTTAATAAAAAAAATGTTAAAGCAGAACTAAAGGCATTTCATTTTGAATAGAGTAAGGGAAGGTGGGTCATGGACTTGGGGCTGCAGGAGAACCATTGCCCGGAGAACTCTGTGTTTTAGAATAATCCAGAAGGAGCTAGTCCAGCAATGGGCAAACTACGGCCCGCGGGCCGTATACGGCCCGGCGGACCTTTTAAATCCGGCCCGCGGAGCTAGGCTCCCGCAAGGCCAGTGGTCGGCAAGCCGCGGCTCTTTACAAATTTAGATGCGGCTCTCCTGTGTGCCGGGCGCCCGCTCCCCTCCCTCCTCTCCCCTCCCTCCTCTCCTCCTCTCCTCTCGGATGGCCGCCCCCCCTCTCGGATGGCCGCCCCCCAACCTCCCTCCTCTCGGACGTCAGGACTCTGCAGCTGTCAGGATGTAGGCGGGGCAGCGTGACGAACTCCTCTCACAGTCCTCCCTGAAGACCAGAACGGCGCGGGAATACGAGAGGAACGCGCGGACCAAAGGTAAGTGAATTGACACAGGGGGGGGACTTACTATATGGGGGGAATGAATTACTATGGAGGACTTACTATATGGGGAATGAATTACTAATATGGGGGACTTACTATATGGGGAATTAATTACTATATGGAGGACTTACTATATGGGGAATGAATTACTATATGGGGGACTTACTATATGGGGAATGAATTACTATATGGGGGACTTACTATATGGGGGAAATGAATTACTATATGGAGGACTTACTATATGGGGAATGAATTACTAATATGGGGGGACTTACTATATGGGGGATGAATTACTATATGGAGGACTTACTATATGGGGAATGAATTACATATATGGAGGACTTACTAAATGGGGATGAATTACTATATGGAGGACTTACTATATGGGCGATGGGGAATGAATTACTATATGGGGACTTACTATATGGGGAATGAATTACTATATGGAGGACTTACTATACTATGGGGAATGAATTACTATAATGGGGGGTTGTGTGTTGTGGTTTGTACTTACTATATGGGGGATGAATTACTATATGGGGATGAATTAATATGGGGGATGAATTACTATGTGGGGGATGAATTACTATGTGGGGGATGAATTACTATATGGGGGATGAATTACTATATGGGGGATGAATTACTATGGGGGATGGATTACTATAGGGGGGGATGAATTACTATGGGGGGACGAATTACTATATGGGGGACGAATTACTATATGGGGACGAATTACTATATGGGGGATGAATTACTATGGGGGATGAATTTACTATATGGGGGATGAATTACTATGGGGGATGAATTACATATTGGGGGCATTAATTACTATATGGGGGATTAATTACTATGGGGGATTAATTACTATGCTTACTATGGGGGAATATTACTATAACTTACTATGGATGGACACCATACACATCATTCATCTACTCTTGTCCGGCCCCCGGGGTCCAATATATGAACCCATTGCGGCCCTCAAGTCAAAAAGTTTGCCCACCCTGAGCTAGTCACTAGTTGACTTTTGTGCCCAATCCGGCTTCCATCTAGCCTGGGTACTCCATCAGCACTTCACCGGGTCCTAGTCACATTTACATGGAACTGTTAAGTATAGCGGCTAGGATCAGTAGGAATACCTGCCAACTTTACTAGGAGTCACTCCGAAAGCCGATGGTCTTGCCCGGTCATTCTTTTGGGACTATGTTCTCCTTTTCATGGGACATGGGCAGGGGCCGTTGCTGAGAGAGAGTTTGCTTGGGAACCTCAGAATTTCAGCATTGCATCTCACCAGGGTTTGGTAACCATGACTATGGAACTGTTGCCCGGTTACTCTACGAATGGCACCCAAGTACCTTTAACAAGCTGTCACTCCAGCCCTTTAACAGAACATATCTCTTTTTGGATCATATCATCTGGGGTTCCTGGGCTATCAAATGGTATCCCAGCTGCTCCCTCAGGATCACCCCAACAGAACTATCATTGTAACATACAGTATGGCTTCCTAATGAATAATGTATTCCTATGTGGGTGCTGGACTGTCTGAGGTGGGCAAGCTTTGTGAATATGTGATTAGCTCTGATTTCTGTATAATGTCAATGTGTCTCTCTAATAAAGCAGGTCTTCTTGTCTACTCCAAAAACTGGTGTTGTCTAGTTCTTTGGGGTAGCTACAGTTATAGTCACTTGCCTCATGTTTCAGAGCTTGGGAAGCAGCTTCTTGGCGGAGATAACAGTTGGGGTGTTCGCAATCTGTCACAAGTAGAGATGAGCGAATCGAACATGACGAAGTGGAATTCGTTCCGAAGATTTGGAAAAATTCTATTCGCGACGAATCCGAAGATTAGCAAACTTCGGATGCACAAATCAAATTTTCCCAAAAATGGCGGCGACATGTGTGGCGACAGGAGAAAATGGACAGAGAAGATGGGGCGGGGATCTCTGGAAGGCGCGCAGACAAGGCGCGCTGACCCATAATGCAATCATGAGTCATGAATCATGACATGTGATTGCATTAGCCAATCAGCAGCCAGCCAGCCAGCACTGTGTAATGGTGGAAGCTATAAATCGCGGCCATCTTAGAATTCTCCATTAGCCTCCGGTCATTCAAGAGAGACAGACCTCTGTGTAATTGAGGGACAGAGTTAGGGCCACAGAGACTTTAGGGCCACAGAATCGTTACTCAGGGCCACAGAATCGTTATTCAGGGACACAGAATCGTTACTCAGGGACACAGAATCGTTACTTAGGGCCACAGCTATCAAAGAATCGAAAATTTAAAGTGACATACACCCTTTTTTTTTTGGTGGCTGTCGTGCACAGTTGGTGCTGCAGTTTGCCGATTGTGTACTCAAATAAACTGACTTTCTGCTTCACAACCACAATGTACGTTCAAAAGAGACAAATCATTTACACGCCGGGTGCGGTAATATTTTTTGGGTGATTAGTGCATTCCAGTGACATAAAACGTGAGTTTCTCCAGCCAACGGCAAGCTGCAATTGGACTATTGTTTACGTTCAGAAACTGACTTTCTGCATCACAAACCACTATCCGTATGCACTCTGCAATGAGTTAATGCAACCCCGGCTGGCGTTAATATTTTTTGGGGTGATTAGTGCATTTCCAGTGACCATAAACGTACAGTTTCCAGCCAACGGCAAAGCTGCAATTGACCCGATTGTGCTAAATAGAACTGACTTTCTGCTTCACAAACCACTATTGTACGTTCAAAGAGTTAAATCCATTTACCACGCCGGGTGGCGGGGTAATATTTTTTGGGTGATTAGTGCATTCCAGTGACAGAACCGTACAGTTTCCAAGCCAACGGCAAGGCTGCAATTGACCGATTGTGCTAAAATAAACTGACTTTCTGCTTCACAACGGCACTTGATTGTACTTCAATAGAGTTGAGATCCATTTACACGCCGGGGGGTATTGCGGTAATATGAATTTTTGGGGTGATTAGGTGCATTCCAGTGATGGAAACGTACAGTTTCCAGCCAACGGTCAACTGCATTGACCGATTTGTGCGAAATAAACTGACTTCCTGACCGGCTTCACAAGCTCACTATTGTAGTAAAACATCACAGGGGCTTACCGATTCTGCTAAAACCAACTATTGTCACGTTCAAACGAGTTAGACATCCGCTTACTAGGGGCTGGCGGCCGTAATATTTTTTGGGTGATTAGTGCATTCCAGTGACATAAACTTACAGTTTCCAGCCAACGGCAAGCTGCAATTGACCGATGGTGTGCTAAATAAACTGACTTTCTGCTGTCACAACCCACTATTGTACGTTCAAAAGAGTTTTAAATCCGGTTTTATTTTTGGGAGTGCTTATTGAATTAAAGAGTATGTCAGACAACACGCAGAGGGAGTGGCAGAGGAGGCAATGTTTCAGGAGCGAGCAGACGTGGCAGCAGAGGAAGGGGTCGAGGCAGCACTAAGTCGCAGCCAGAGGCCAGTGCTCCCGGTGTCATCCAGCGGTCGTGTCTCCACCGACAACCCTGCCGTCATCGATTGGTTGACTCTCGGACCGTCTTCCTCTTCTTCCCAGGTCACCTCTGACACCTACAGCCAACGGTCGGTGGGTACGTCAGACACAACCGTTAGTTGGCATGGCCCGGGAGCAAGCCCACTGAAAAGGGTCACGTGTCCGAATCGACTGCCCCTGTCCTTTGGTGTTCCCTCACCAAGCGAAGTATCGCATGCTGTGGGCTCAGCCCCACTGTACAGTGGAGGAAGAGCTAACAGAGGGCGGTCAGGAACGGGGGAGACATCCGCCTCTTCAGCAGCCAGGCGAAGAAGTACTGGCGAGGAGAGTGGCTCGGTAGCCGTCTAGAGACAGGTCTGTCTCCTGACCCACACGCAGCCGAGGGGGCTAGTAGTGACGCGGAGACCCTAATTGATGATGATGAGGCTGATCGCACTTGGCAGCCTCGTCGTCATCAGGCTATTGCTTCCGCATCATCAGGAGAAGAGGGTGCCAGCTTGCCAGCGAGCAAAACAGTCGGTGGTTTGCCCAGGAGGCAGCAGGGTCGCAGCAGTGTCAGTGGAGCCAAACGGCCACGAGTAGAGCACCAGCTCCACTGCAGCCTACCACCACGGCCAGTAGTGGTGCCGGTGTGCACGGAGGAAGTAGCAGTCAGCCAGTGAGGAGTAGCGGGGGCAAAGTTTCCTACTCGGCGGTGTGGCAATTTTTCGTCAAGCCGCCCGAGGAAGTAAACGTAGCCGTATGTCGACTATGTGGCCAGAAAGTCAAGCGTGGCCAGGGGGCCCATGTTGGGACTACAGCGTGGTGCGTCAGCATATGCAGCGTCGCCATTCGGTGGCCTGGGAAAACCGTGATAAAGATACGGCGGTTCTGCCTGCCCCAGCCCCCGCTCCATCACCCGCTCCGTTACTTGCTCCGTCACCCGACGTCAATCGCACCTCTATCAGCCAGTCAAGGCTCCAACACCTCTGCTGAGGGGAGTTGTCGCTCGTTGGCATCTTCCGCTCGTTCAGATGCTCCTTCTCCTGCTACTCCTCTTCACGGATTCCGTCAGCAGTCTTTCTTGGAATCCGTTTCCAAGAGACAACAGTTTGCGAGCACGCACCCGACGGTGCAGAAGCTGAACGTCCTCCTGTCCAAGTTGCTGGTGCTGCAGTCCCTCCCTTTCCAAGTGGTGGACTCAGCACCTTTCCGAGAAATGATGGCTTGTGCCGAGCCGCGGTGGAGAGTGCCAAGCCGGCATTTCTTCGCCAAAAAGGCAGTGCCAGCCCTGCATTCACATGTAGAAGAGATGGTGGGCCAGTCTTTGAGCATGTCGGTCTCTGCCAAAGTGCACGGCAGCGCCGACGTGTGGAGCTGTAACTACGGTTCAGGGGACAGTACATGTCATTTACGGCCCACTGGGTGAACGTGGTGCCGGCACAGCCGCACCAGCAACTTGGACAGGTCACGCCGCTTTTGCCTCCACGTTTGCACGTCCTTGGTCCAGCAAAGATGTCCGCCTCTACCACCTCTTCTTCCGCCGTGTCCTCAGCCGCCACCCCCGTGCCAAGTCCCATTACCCGACCGGCATATCACATGTGCAGGGCGCAACGGTGTCACGCTGTGCTGCACCTGGTATGCCTTGGCGAACGTAGTCACACAGGGGAGGAACTTCTGAGTGTAATGAACAGAGAAATCGACAGATGGCTGTCTCCGCGCAAACTGAAAATCGGAACCATGTTGACCGACAACGGAAAGAACATGGTGTCCCTGCTCTGCGTCAAGGAAGGTTGTGCCATGCGCCATGCATGGCTCACGTGTTCAATCTGGTTGTCAAGCGGTTCCTAAAATCCACCATCCCACTGCAAGACATCCTTAAAATGTCACGTAAACTTTGCATGCATTTCAGCCATTCCTACAAACCCGCAAAGCACACCCTCCTTGAGCTGCAGCGGCAGAACGGAATTCCACAGCATCGCCTGATCTGCGACGTTGCAACAAGGTGGAATTCAACCCTACATATGTTAGACCGCCTTTACGAACAGCGAAAGGCCATCACCGATTTCCTGATGTTACAAGCGGATAAAGGTACTCCCCTGTGTAACTTAGATGTCAGCCATTGGCAGCTCATGCGTGACACCTGCCGCTTGCTCAGGCCCTTTGAGGAGGCCCACGCTATTCGTGAGTCGGCAGGACTATGGGATGAACGACGTCATTCCTCTGTTGCACGTCCTGGAACAAATGCTGTTAACAATGGCTGGTCAGGGTGCGGTAGACGTGGCGCACAGATCTCAACGCCACATGACCCCTGTGGGGGCAGGACAGGAAGAAGAGGAGGAGGTAGAGGAGGACATTGGTGCTCAGGAATTATTGAGTGAAATGGGTGGTTTTCCACTCAGCGGACAGGAGTGGAGGAGCAGGAGCATCTGGTAGAGGAGGAGGAGGAGGAGACAGAGGACCCAGACGCACCGTGGCAGTATGCTGTGGAGATGGAGGCAGGGAGTCCCTCGCATTCCTTGGCACAAATGGCCCATAGCATGCTCGGTTGCTTGCTTGCGTAGCGACAGCCGAATAATAACCATCAGACAGAGGGATGACTTTTGGCTGTCCACCTTGTTGGACCCTCGCTACCGTCGTCAAAAATGGTGGCCTTTTTCACACCTGCTGAGAGGGAGGCCAAAATAAAGTACTATAAAAACCACCTATGTAGTCAGTTGGTCTCTGCCTTTCTGCGCCAACGTCCATCCTCAGACACTGTGGGCCCTGTGCGCTCGCGTTCCGCTGCCCCACCCCATGGCAGCAGGGGAGGGGTGGGGGTGGTAGGAGCAGTGGCAGCTCCACCAGCAGCGGCTGCCTCAGTCTGCAGTCGATGATGAGTAGCTTTCTTCACCAGCGCAGTGAGGAAACTACTAACCAGCCGCAGCAGCAGCAGCAGCATCAGGTGGACCTGGAGCAGGACCTCAAACAACAGGCTTGGGCCTACTTGGACAGCACCCTGCCAACCGAGGTAGACAATCCCCTTGACTACTGGGCAACGAAACTTGACCTTTGGCCCCAACTAGCTGAATTTGCCCTTGAAAGGCTGTCATGCCCGGCCAGTAGCGTGGCATCGGAGCGCGTGTTTAGTGCGGCAGGAGGTATTGTAACTCCGCGGAGGACACGACTGTCCACCCAAAGTGTGGAGAGACTCACGTTTGTGAAAATGAATCAGGCGGATTAGTCTGGATTTCAAACCACCAGTTCCTGACACAACTGACCTAATAACCTAGCCGTTCAGGCCGCTACCCTGAACACCTCGGGAATTGCTTTGTATATCTGTCGCCTTAGAGGCCGCTGTCTGAACAGCTCATGAATTGCTTTCTATATGTGTCGCCTTTGAGGCCGCTGGCTGGACAGCTGATGAATTGATTTATATATATGTACTTATTGTCCCGTGTCCGGACAGCTCATGAATTACATTTTGTATATAGCCTTCCAAACCACTCTCAGAATAAGTCATGATATTCATGCTGTGTATAGCCTTATAGGCCAATGGTCAATCAAGTCATGATTGTTATAGTGTGTATAACTCTGCCTTATAGGCCGCTGTGTCTTTACAACTTTATAATTCCATGCAGTATATAGCCCTATCGGCCACTTTCTGGCATCCAGTTGCTGTAGCCCCCATCACCACACTGTGCCACGGGGCCCCTGTACCGCCTTCTCATACTGCTGCCAGATCCATCCTCTGCCATGTGCGTCTTTGTCGTCTGCTCACGCTGCTGGGTTCCAGTTTTAAACCTAGGCCTGTGTATGGCTTCCGAATTACTGCTGCCTCCACCGCCACCCTGCGCCATGTGCCTCTGTCATCTGCTCACGCTGCTGATGGCTTTCCGCTTTTTAACCTAGGCCTGTGTATGGCTTCCGAATACTGCTGCCTCCACCGCCACCCTGCGCCATGTGCCTCTGTCGTCTGCTCACGCTGCTGACGGCTTCCGCTTTTTAAACTAGTCCTGTGTATGTCTTCCGAATACTGCTGCCTCCACCGCCACCCTGCTGCGCCATGTGCCTCTGTCGTCTGCTCACGCTGCTGACGGCTTCCGCTTTTTAAACTAGTCCTGTGTATGTCTTCCGAAATACTGCTCCTCCACCGCCACCCTGCGCCATGTGCCTCTGTCGTCTGCTCACGCTGCTGACGGCTTCCGCTTTTTTAAACTAGTCCTGTGTATGTCTTCCGAATACTGCTGCCTCCACCGCCACCCTGCGCCATGTGCCACTTTCGGGTCTCCTCACACTGCTGCCAGGTCCATACTGATTCATGGCCCCCTGTACCGGCTCCTCATGAACGTGGTTCAGCGGGTTTGCATCACTTAACGGCAAATCGTTGACAAACGCTGGGACGTTCAGTGTTGTGCACATTAAGCCAGACACCAAAGGGCAGCACAGACCTGTTATTACTCGCTCAAGCATGGCTGAACAAAACCAGTCTCTACCACAAATTGGACCCAGACCTGCCCAGGGTCTCGTAAGTAGATTGCACGGAGGAGTAGAGTTCGTTATTGGAATTAACTGTGAGGGACTTTTAAACCTAGGCCTGTGTATGGCCTTCAATTGAAGCTGCTTCTGCTCCGCCACTCTGCCATTGGACTCTTGATAGTCGTCTCCCCACGCTGCTGCTGGGGGGACTTTTTAACATAGGCCTCTGTATGGCCTTCAATTTTAGCTGCTTACGCTCCGCCACTCTGCCATGGTCCCCTGTACCGCCTCCTCATGCTGCTGCCAGGCCCGTAATCTGCCATGGGCCCCCGTACCGACTCCTCATGCTGCTGCCAGGCCCGTAATCTGTCATGGGCCCCTGTACCGCCTCCTCATGCTGCTGCTGCCAGGTCCAGAGTGTGTCATGGGTCCCTGTACGGCCTCCCATTGCTGCTGTCTCCATCGCCACACTCTGCCATGTGCCACTTTCAGGTCTCCTCACACTGCTG